TTGAATACAAGTTATGATTTGTTCTGTGTGTGTGTTTTGCAGACCCAACTCGCATTGTTGTTATCTGTTGTTTCGTTAAAACGCGTTTTGTTAATCAGTTTAAATAACAGTTTAATAACCCAGATTTGAGGTGTGGAAATCTCGCGAGAAGACGCATTGGTTATTCAGTTACAAAAATCTGAATCACCGATATTCACTGCTGGAAAGCCCGGACCAAGTTTGGAGAGGAGCGAGTGGCACTTCAGAATCAACTAGGAATTAAACACTTCATTCTTTCGTGCTGGTCCTTCACAAAAGCCTTCTTCCTTTATTCCATAGACAATCACACTTTGTATGAGAGTGAAGCGTGTAAGGCTTTGCACAGTAGTTAATGTCACTGCTTTTTTGTTTTTAATGCCAAACGACTGGCGCGGCTGGCACGACGGGTACAAACAGAAGTTTGGGATAAAGCCCACCCCGGTGGGCTAAAGATACGTATACATATATATATATATAGTTTTTTGTTGCATTTTTTGTCTTAGAACATTCGGTTTCTCCATTCTCGACATATAGTCCAACAAATAGTACAGCCTAGGCTTCCTCGAAATCGGTGTCTCCAAATCAATAAATCAGAATGACCTCGAACTCCCGGAGTCTTGGATCGGTCTTTTGCTGATTTTCCCGCACACCGATTGTATCGACAATCAAGTTTGTTTTTTCAGCTCACTCAGTTAATCACTATATAATAAAAGCCTCCTGCAGTCCAGCGCACCATAAACGACCACCAAGCATATATGAGCGTCACATCTTTACTAGACTCAGACATGCGATCACTGTTTTAAATCCACGATTGGTACACGAAAACTGAGAAAACGGCGCAACTAGTAAATCTGAAAGGCACTACTCGAAAGCGGACAAAGGAAAACGCATTATATTGGATATTGCAAAATTGAAACTAATACCTAGCTAGATGCGCAAGTATAAATATATACACATGTGCGTGCGCGTGGACTATTACTCTATAAAATATTATAAACTTTAAAAGGGCTCCACATAAATTACTCCAGAAAACTAGAGCAAAATTTCTAATTATATTTGAGATTTGAGTTTGGCAACTTTTTAATATGATACAAGGAAGCGTAGTGTGTGTGATATAACGCAGCCTTACTATTAATTTTTACTTACAGGAGGTTACTGACCGCAGTTAAGCCGCAGCGCTATTACACTGATGAGTCTGTGTGAATCTTTCTTTCACACACAATCTTCACAAAACATGCATTATGTCCTGTGTTAATTGTACTAGAGATGTAATATACGAATGACAGTCAAAAGTGTAGAGGCTCTTACGAGCTACAACTAAGGGACCCAGGGCACCTAAAAGATAAGCGACTGCTTTAAAACACAAAAGACTTAGGCAAAAGTTTGATGTGTGGTGAATAAGTGTCATATGCCAGATGAACAACGAGGGCATGTTATGCTAACATGAAAGAGCACAACCGTTTGTTAGAGATTATCGGGTAAATTTTCTTCCTGGTAGGTGGTTCAGATCGACAAAGTTAAATGACCTGCCGATAAGGGTCGTGAAGGGATACCAGAGACTCCATACACGGAAAGCAGTAATTTCTACGCGGGAAGGCTCCGAGAAATTTGGCGGAAGAGAATCGGAGCCGCGAAGGAGAATCGGAGACGCGGAGGAGAATCGGAGACGTGGAGAACCGGACTCGCCGTCAGCCCGCTTCCTTCGGTTGAAAAATCCAGAATGAATAAAAGACGGAGCGATCGGGGTTTGGATCGCTCTGTCTTTTTTTACAATCTCCGAAAACAAGCAAAATTAAGATGAGAAAACACAAAAGCATCTCCAAATACAAAAAACGAAAAATTTTAAGATATTGGTGGCGATAAACGCCCCACAATTCTCAGAAAAAATGTTATCACACATCATCACTAAAGTGCATCCTCGGCTTTGCCGACAGAGGTGAAATTTTTTACAGTCAAAGGTGTATCTCTTCTCAAATTCTGTTACCGTCTGCAACGTGCCTCCGCTGCCCTCTCAATCTCTATTTCTCCACCAAAACTTTTTTGTATGTAAGGGGCGAGGGATGGTTTCCTCAAACGTAAATGGAAATATTCAAAATATCAGAAACTCGTTTTTGAATATTGGTAATTAATGGTGTTGCGTCTGTTAAGAGTAACCACAACAGAATTTTTCTTTTAGAATAGAAACAGGCCGGGGCACTTTCCCGACAAATGAGGCTGTTGATGCTACGAGCTGGTCGGACACTCGTATGGCCGCCAGATGTTCCGATGTAAGAGAGGGGAAGTGGTTTGTTCCGTCGTATGAGGGGCCAGATAATCCAGGAGGTCGGAGGAGACACGAACCCTCTATAGACGACCTAATCCCGAGCAACTCCCCTAATTCACCTAGCGCAACCTCACGAGTTCCCACGGGAGCCTGTCGCACGACCCGCCCAAAAGGTACCCGGCTGTACATGCAAAGAATAAAGCGAACACAACGCAACCCCAAATCAAGAGTTTTATTTGTAAATATAGCACAGCAGAAGAGACAGCGATGCTACTGAACGGATGTGGTACGGCCAACTCTGCTGCCTTAGAAGAACCAGAAAAAGCAGGACCAGAACCCAAAGCAGAACCAGGAGAACGTGTCTGTTAGCGTATGTGTGCCTGAGAGTGAGCACCGTACCTGAGAGTGAGCCCATGGGATCAAGGGATCACCCCTTTTATACGAACTTATTGATCTTCCCGCCGATTCACCACTCCATTATTCCAGAATTTCTATGGGGGGAATGACCGACTCTCACAATCTCGCTTCGGTCTGAGCGGTATTCCACGACCGCCATCAATACAATTCATCGTTCTTAAAAACTACTCAATACAAAAACTTCAAAATTCGTATTTGAACGCACTCAATTTAAAAAAAAACACACTTTAAACAAAATACTTCGAACAATAAACCTGAAATTGAAAACGGATAATCGTGCTCCCTGCACTCATTAGGATATGCCTGCTGAATTCGGATAAACGGAAACCTGATATCTTTGAGCTCATCGACTCATCAGTGTAGAAGCCATTGATTCTTAGCTCTTGTCCGTTTTACTCAACACAGGAAATAGTGCCTATGCTCAACATATTCCAGCTTGCTCCAGACTGCTAAAACCTTAGCAAGAAAGTACGAGGTTCAGTGGGAACGAATTGAAAAACTGAAAAATAAGAAAAGAATGAAACATCAAAGCGGCTGAGGCAAAATTGCTGGCTTAGAAACACTCAACACATCTGACACAAAAAAAAAGACACTGCACAACTACCAGTTGCGATGACGACGTCGGGCAGCTCGAGACGGTCGTGAGCGAGGCGCACGCTGCGGAGCATTATAACGCAAAGCAAGAGAAGGGTCGTATCGATTTAGGGCTCTAATCCACTGCCGTGCACCTTTCGCACTCAAAACTCCATTGCTATCAGTCAACGTTGGATCCACAACCGCCCGGGGAACAGCACCCAGGAAGTATACGGAATCCTGCTCGCTTTCTGAATCTGCAATACCTCCGACGATGACGTTCGGCGCCACTAATTCCGCTTTGAAGACGCGTATCGTGCGCATCGTAACTTGATGCATCTGATCTGAACTGACAGCGCATGGCGGCGCGAGAACGAACAAAACATGAGGCGAAAGGACAGCTTCACGACCAATGAGGCGCAGAAATTTGGCATACTGCGGAATAGACGAGACTTCCGTCACCAGAGGCAAAAACAACACAACTCTGCTCACAGAATGGGAAAATGTTATCAGACAGCAATAACGATTCATGGCTTCCAAGTTGCTGGCTGACACAAATACTGCATTAGTGACGCTGGAAAACATCTGTGCATTTGCGGAACCTACGACTACCATCGCATCTTTGGCTAACTTCTGAACCAAAACTTTTTGCCGCGCAGCCTCATCTGCTGACCCAATCACACCATCAAACAGAAAAAAAGAAAATCCGTGAATGGGCAAATAAATCAAAACTTCTTTTGCATGATCTTTCAGCGCCTGCTGCCGATGCGAACATATTTCGACAAATTTGCGGAAGGCTTTTACCAAACTCGCTTCACTGGGAATGTGTCCAGCTTCCACGGCGGCATGTGATCCCTCCATAGCTCGTCGCTCACGTTCCACTTGCCCAGCTGCTGCATCATTGTAGCTGTCCAATACCAATGCCAGCTGCATGGGAGTGACAAATGTCGCGTTTGCGAGAGCACCAATCGCAAGGGGTTCGACCTGACGAAATAAAATTGCCGGGCAACGGCGGCAATTCCAAAACAGGTCGAGCGGACTTCCATTAATAACCAAACATACAATGCCGTCGGAGCGGTCATGAGTTACAATCGTACGAAGCTGTTGACTGCATGAAAAGTTATAATTTAGCTTTAAGTCTTGAGCAACGACGCGGTCCGCTTGACTGCCTAACAACTCAAAGAGCATTTTTGGCCAAGCGTCGACGCTGCGTCGCCCCTAAATAAGGCACATCCGAAACCTCCTTGGGGACTTTTTTTAGTTGGTCTACCGGGACTGAGAACGTCTCCCCCTTCCCGAGAATCAGTTTTACCGTTGCAGAATGTCCTGGGACAGCCAAAACGCGGTAAGGACCAGTATAATTCCAATGCAGCTTCGGATTGGCCCTCTTCCTTTGCTCATTGGGCATATACACGTAAACCCTGTCATCCGTTTTAAAAACATCGCTACTAGTCCTATTCCTTCTATCATATAAAATCTTATTTCCCTGCTGAGACTTGCTAGCTGTGTTGCAAGCAATTTCCCTAGCCAGTTTCAAGCCAGCCAAGAGTTCAGTCTTACAATCATCCATATCAACCTCATAAACTGAAACCTCGCGGCCCTTACCCATTTCCAAAGGAAAGTCTGGATCAAACCCATGAAGCAGGTAAAAGGGGCTCTCTCCAGTAGTAGAGTGAGGAGTGGCGTTATAAGCAAACAGCACATAAGGCACCCTCCGATCCCAATCCATGGGGACTGGGGTTGATTTCGCCAACATGGCTATCAAGGTTCGGTTCATACGTTCTGTAAGCCCATTCGCCCGGAGATTATACCCGGCTGTAAAGGTCTGGGTCATACCTAAACCTTCTGAGATCGCAGTCATTATTTTCCCGTTCACGAATTCTGCGCCGCGATCGCTAATAAGGGCTAACAGGGTACGCCCTTCACGTGCGCACCATTCATCAGCAAACACCTTTACGATAGTATCGGCCTTCTTATCCGGTATAGGATAAGCAGAACACCATTTTGTGAAATGGTCTATAACTACTAAGAGATATCGGTTGCCAGCACGAGTCAGACCCAACTTAAGAGCATCGATGCCGACTATCTCATATGGCTTAGACGTCGTGATAGGCCGTAACAGTGGGGGTGCTTGGGGTGGGTGTTTACAATTGCACATTGCTGGCACTCACGAACCCATTTCAGTATATCTCGGTACATCCAAGGCCACTAGTAACGCTTCTTTAACAACTTCATAATCTTACTGGGATTAAATTGCCCCGTAGACGTGCCAGCGTGAGCCTCCAAAACCAGCTGCTTACGCCTACCCTGAGGCACCACCACAACTGGCGAAGATCTCTCGAAGAGCCGCATAAGCTCCCCACTTTCTAACCAATAAGCCGGCATCTCCTGCCCTCGCTCCAAACGGCTGACGATGCTAGCCGTGTGGGGGTCATATCTGCCCGCGACGGCTGGCGGCTCTCAAAAATCGTTAGCAACTCGGACCTGAACCGCCAACTGTACATGCAAACGAACATGGTTTTTTTGGAAAACGACCGCTCAAGCAATACTTTCAATTTTTCAATGAACTGAGAATTTGCATATTTTCAACCTGAACCGCAATCGTAACGTGAACCTGCTATATGGCATATCTTCCACTCAACCCAAATTCAGTCATGCTCCTAGAAATAAACACAAAAAAGACGCACGCACTTCCCCTCCTCACCAACATAGCAAGAAAAACAGGAAAAAAGGCATGTGGCATCGACGCCACGCACCACACCAAGAAAAAACCATAAAATCGCGACCGGGTCGCTGTGCAACTGAACATGGAACGGCGGCAAGTCAAATGTTGGACCCGGACTTTTGCAGCACTGGTGCCTGTGCTGCCCCAGCGGGAAAAGGAAGTGGAAGACCCACCGCCGCCCCATGGATCCACCTATGTCTCCGACAGAGGGTTTTGTGCACTTAGACGTTCACTTTTTCTCAAAACCCCGTCTTCTTGAATGGTGGCATAATGTGGAGCACAAAGCAAAAAGAACGCACATAAATATTTTGGTAATGCACAGGAAGTCGGAAAAGGATTAAGAAATCTGCAAAATGTACTCGCTTTTGAGTTCGAGATAAAATTTAGCATGTCATGTCTGCGTGCAGAGAATTTCACTGATAAACTGAATTAAGACTACACATGAACACAGAATACCCCTGCAAAGTTTCAATTTCGCAGCATGAACGGTAAGTGAAACAACCACTTCGCTACAAATATATTTGAATTTGGTTTAAGTAGTGGCGCAACTGCAATTCGAAACACAATTTTGACATTTGATTTTCCATATAGACAATAAATATTTCGACAAAATTTCGGCTAATTTTTTAGCTAGCGTCCAAGCCGGCACAGTGCCAACTGCACACTCTGATGTGACTGTAAGCATAGTACAATAACGCACGGGCTGCCCGTGCGAAGATGCGTTTTTTGCATGGTTCCCCGCAGTTTTTGTTGCTACTGACACTGACTTTTTCGGCAAATGCTTCTAGCTAAACAAACTAAGACTGGCCGCCAGAACTGCCAGGAAACATCCCCTTAAAATTTCGGCTTTCTAGCTTCCGTGGCCCCTGAGTTAGCAACTTACTGGAACAAAATTTCCACAGGCCCGTGCATGTTTACCACGCATGTCTGAGAGCTGGGTTCGAGCTGAGTGAAACTTAGGCGGACGGGGTACAACTTCTTAAAACTACATTTCTTTAGCTTCTCAGGTAATTGAGTTATCAACTTACCCGAAAAAAATTTTGACGGGTTCGTACGCGGGTACCACGCTTACCCGGGGGCTGGGTTTGAGCTCATTAGCACCTGCTTGGACGGGGAACATTCCCTTAAAATTTCAGCTTTCTAGCATCCCAGAACCCCGAGTTATGAATTTATGCAGGAAAAATTTTGGAGGGCCCGTACGCGGGTACCACGCTTGCCCGGGAGGTGGGTTTGAGCTCATTAGTATATACTTGGACGGGGAACATTCCCTTAAAATAGCTTTCTAACTTTCCTGGTTCGCGAGTTATCAACACCTTAAAAAAATTTGGCGGGCTCTTACGCGGGTACCACGCGGGTTTTGGCGCCAACTTTGGGGATGAGGGCCCGTACGTGCATGTAGATTATGTCCCCAAAGTTTCAGCCCCGTAGCTTTTGCCGGTGTTGGCAGTTTCGGTGCTCCAAACTGCTCCAACCAGTGGAATATGAGGGGTACCACCAGAGCACGCAAATGAAAGCCACCGAAGCGCCCAGTGAAAACGAATAAAGCCACCAGCGCAGAGGACGGATGTGCCGTCGTGCATGACGCAGCCTCGCACCATAGTTGAGGAGGATGACACTGTGCCAGGGAAAGTCTCATCCCCCGATCGATAATCCAGTAAGGTCAACGAGGCCACCAACGAGACTCAGTTCTCCAGAAGAACTCCGAGGTCAATGCATGTGCGAATAAGTGACCTGA